CCTGGAAGGGCGAAGGACACTGTCTCAGCTGAACTATGGACACGCACACACATACATATACTGATGCTGATAAGCACTCACTGAAGCATCACTCTCCCTACCCCGGATCCAACGCCACCTCCAAAGCTTACCTCCCCTCTGATGTGGACATCGGGTCAGGTATAGGCGCAGTCGAAGATTGCAGTGGTCCCAGATCAGATGTACACACTGGAACACTTTCCCATGTTGCTTGTCTGTGTTTATTGTGCTATGGTGTGTTGATATCTGTGCATTCCTGTATTATCCTTTTGTATTACACATTTTGATGTTTCTTTTTCCTCGCTACTTAGCCTGACCTGTCTCCCCAATGTAATGTTTGTGTATTGTATGTACGGTCGGCAAGGTCTGTCATCTTGGTTGTGGGCAAAAGACCTGCAACTGACAAATAAAGGCTATATCATCTCATCTCATCATCTCATGTTCGAGGATCAGCAAGTCCATTTATAAGGTACTTCCAGGAAACACAGTCAAAACAGCAAGTTCAACGCTAATCCAAAACTACAGGGACCTGTCCGTCCTCACAGACCTTCCCTGAAGCAATCACTCTTTTCCTTTTTAAGGAACTGTCAACAAGGATCTACACAAAAATAATCACTAATGTAAACATACAATTGGCAGCACCTCTATATCAGGTGTAGCACAATTAGTACCTATGTTGGGAGAAAGTCCAGTAGCAAGAAAAAAGAAACAAAGAAAACCAACAGCTGGTTTTGTGCTGAAAACCAAGAAAGATGGAGAATAATATTTTATTGTTGTATACACTAAATATACACCCACTCATTTAAAAGAGATGAATTCAGTGAAAGGAGTAGGTGTGTTCCTGCTCCTTCATCTTACTGAACACTGCGAAGGTGCGTTAGTAATGGCTGCACTTGTTGTGTTTTCAGAGTATTTTTCAAGTCCATTCTAAGCCTCATAATCCGCCCTATATTTGTTTCACAAGACATTTCACAAGGAAAACCCTCAGTAAGCTGTAGCTACTGCCCTGTATCTTGTAGCAAATCTCTGTCACTATAAAGCTGGGGTATTAGCTTTGGAAATACTGTAGCAGCTCATAAGCCTCAGTGTTTGTTGTGTCCACTTGATCAGAAGGCCTGGTGTCTGTATATGACTGCAGGGCCCAGACAAGAAGTCAAAACTGGTGGACTATGGGACTATGGAAAAGTTAAGCTCTAAATCTGTGTTTGACTTAGAACAACAGCAATATATTTGAACAGAATACCACCGACTGGGCCCACCGATGCAATTTTGATTGCCTTTTTAAAAATTCAAAAAAACCTCCCTTCAATTCCGAGGCGAGAATGACAGGAAAGTTCAGCCGGAGCTTTATCCTGTGTTGGCACAGTGAAATGGAGTGTGGAAATAGCTCCGGCAATGTGAGTGGATCATTATATTTAACTGAAGCTGACTGCTGAAGCTGACTGAATACATGAGCTGTCGAAAGACCATCACTTTACAGCACAAACATTTCTGAGATTTTTTTTTAATCTTCCCAAGAGTAAAAAATTTGTAGTAAAAACATAACTTTGGATTTGGATACTTAGATTTTTCTTATTTACATGTAAATCAGCTTTTACATTTTTAATAGAAATATTCAAAGTCTTTATGCAATTAAGGAATCTGCTTAAAGTCACAATAAAGTAAATATATCATTTAAGGTTTTTTCTTTGCTTTACTGGGTACAGAATTTCCATCCTGAATACAGACTCACACATAAAATGAATCTAAAGATGCTGCAGATTATCATCATTTATAATACATTTATACACTGTATATAGAATTTATATTTGTAACAGCACTCATATAGTATATCACAGCCCAGCATGGTAGCTGTGCAAAGCTCTTGAGCCAACCCTGATGTTTTAGGGTTTCTCTTTTAGGGTTCTCCAGGCTTTCTGAAGGTCTTTCAAAGTTTTTTCTTGGGCATTGCCTGCCTTTTCACTCATTTTCTGCCCCATCCACACACCTGACCATTTTCAGAAACTTTTTTTGTTTGTTAAGCCACTTAATACTGATCCAGAAATAAAGTCAACCATAAAAAGAGGCATCTAACTGAACAGATGAACCAGTGTTACTAGCAGCCTATTGCAAAAACATGTATATAGATAAATCTATGAGTAAAGCAAAAGATAACAGACTCTGACAGACACAAGATAGTATTTTTGGAACAAGGTGATACTCAAAGAGCTACTGGCCGAAGACTTGGCATATCTCAGCATAGTGTGCTGTGTGTCCTTAAAAACAGCACATGTACAGATTCAGAAAGTTGAGGGAAAATGAAAATTGATGGAATAATAAACAAAGAAAAGTATCATCAGTTTGATACATTATGTAATAACATCTGGAAAGTGTCTTGTTTGCAAAAGCTTCATTTTTCAGCATCACACTGATCTCAAGAACATTTACAATGCAATAAAAGCATACCTGGATAGAAAAAACACACAGTGGAACACTATCAGTGATGAATTGACCTCCCCAGAGCCAGGACCACAACTTCATTGAAGCAGTGTGGGATCATCTTGACAGGAAATGGAACAAAAGGCAGCCAACATCCAAAGAGCTCTAAATGTCCTTCAAGAAGCCTGGAGAACAATGCCTGAAGACTACCGAAAGAAAATACAAAAAAACTGAAGACCGTGAGAAAGTGCAGGCTGTGTTGAAGAATGAAGGCGCTCATATGAAATATCATTAGAATTAAAAACTTTGTTTTTGACTTATATCATTTACCGGTGTTCCCCCGGATAAGCTGGAGGAGGTGGCTGGGGAGAGGGAGGGAGGGAGGTCTGGGCCTCTTTGCTTAGGCTGCTGCCCCCGCGACCCGGCCTCGGATAAAGCGGATGAAGATGGATGGATGGATGGATGGATCATTTACTTGCACGTATGTTTACACATTTCAATAAATCGTTGCACCAGTTTCCCATTTTCCTACCGAAATATAAAGAAATGACAGCGGTCAAAGCTTTTGCACAGAACCATATTTCTTTTTATTAAACCTCTAAGTGTTATTTCTATCAAACTTGTTCAGGCAAAACATAACTTTCCAAGACTATAATGGAGTTTTAGTACGTCAGTCACTCTGATGCCATGCTGCTTCCAATTTCCATTATTTCTCACAACATTCTTTCTGGAATTAAAATATAGATTAACTCTCTCTCCATTCATTGCTCGAGTCTTACAAATATCATAAAAAATTAATTCATAACATTGCCTATTTCAGCTTTGTGAAAATTGATAACGTGCTTCTGCATATCTATCGCCATAACCGCTCTCTCTTTCCTCCAGACATAAATCTCAGACGCGGTCACTTTTTCTGTGTACCAAGAAGTGTTTGTGTCTTGAGAAGTTATAAAAGCATCAAAATGAAAGCGTGGGACATGTTTATCTTCCAGCAGCTGGTGAAGTGAAAGAAGCCAAGTGCTTGAGGCAAGCAGTACCAGGCACATGCAACCCAATGAACCACCTCTAAAAGGAGACAGTGCATCCTTTTTAAGCTTTCTCTGGTAATGCAATGTTATTTAAGGATTGCTTTGTATAGAATCATCACAGATAAATAAACTGTATAGCACGTTAAAAGGCATGTTTAGAGTAGATTTACCTTGCTGTCAGAAAAAAAAGGGGAAAAAAATATGTAAGGCATGCTGTCTAATGCTGTGAACAGGTAGGCAAAAAAACAAAGGCATACATCCAGACTGGAAGTAGCTTCCCACTCCCTCATTCTCACCTCATTTCAAACTTCACTTTAATGAGCTGCACGCGGTTCTGCATACCTTACATATCATGCACAAAGTCGAATCTAATGTAATGTTAATGCACAGGAAGACAACATGTTAGGCCACGATTAGCTATAGAGAGGTGTCGACTGCAGAGTAAGTAGGTTAGACCTCCAGGGGCCCTAAAGACACAGTCTGGCTTCAAACTTCCAAAAGAATTATGACAGAGTTGCAACATCTGCTGCCTGAGAGGAAGACAGACAGTGATGGATAGCCAGGTGTTCTGTGTATATGTGTGTGTGTGTGTGTGTGTGAGCGAACACACACTGCCCACACGCTGCACACATATGTATAACCCAGGAGACCAAACCTGCATACAGTGTGTGCAAATCCACATTTACCTACAAGAAGACTGGCTGAGGGACCAGTTAAATAAGCAATGCACACATCTGTGACGAATGGCAATTTCTATTTAATACGACTCACTAATAGACACTGTGCCAAACCCACAAACATGTTGGCGCATGCAAGGCTGAGTGCAACACACAGACACTTTGAAAATATAGTAGCATGTTTATGATGGTGCACTGCTTAATATCTATCAACAACGTCCATATGAATGCATTTTCAGCCGGATAAATAATCCCATCAGAAAAGATAAAGATTAATGATATATTTATCATCCAATGACAAGAACTCCACACTACACAAAGATCAGTATCGAGATGCCAAATTGTACTTGATGAGATTACAGAACACTAGGAAATAAAATGTTACTATTACACTGTCAAAAATATTAATATCATATCAAGAAATGGCATTTATAGCATAGCAACTTTCAAAGATGAGCAAATATCTCTGCTGTGGATATATAAATGTTCACACGAGAAGACAAAAAGAACTGCTTCTTATCCAGACATCATATTTATCATGCATGAAAAACACGCTTTCCAATCAGTGAGTCTGAAGAATAATGTGTCATCAACAGTAATAATAATAATGTCACCATGTTTATAGTAATCTGTGTCATCACTCATGATAAACAACATATTGAGTATAAATCAATGAAGTATATCTAAATATCTAAACAGGCAGCAGCATGAGTGACAGGCTAATCTAACTCAAAGTGTTTGGCTTCGACATATCCCGTCTGTGTACTGAAAAAAGCAACAAACGTGGTTTTGTGGTTTTTACAGTGTCAGAATACAAGCTTGTATTTTAACTTATGTACTTAAACATATTCTTCAACCCTTTCTTCTCATTTTTTAATCTAATGCTTACAAAATCTTACTCTTACAAAACTGGATTACTTCATTTAGGTGTCAGAAATCAAAATCCCTTTAAAGCTATCCCTCCATGTTTGCATTTCCTTCCTCTTCCACTCCTGGTTTGGGGCTGGGTGAAGGAGATAGGCTGGGTGCTGCAGGGGTCCTGCGCCCAGTGGGGATTGGGGGCAGGATGGGCTTAACGTTGGACCCTGGGCGTCGATCAGAGCATGGGGACACAGCTGCAGCTAGTTGATCTGCTCCTGGATGAGGGTCATTAGGTGTTTGGCTGGATGGAACGTGGTCTGAAATCAATAATCAATCAACAATCTTTAGAAGTTCAGTAAGCCAACTTTATTATTTTATCATTAGATTTTCTGTTTTTCCCACAGACAGTAAACAAACCTGTTATAACCTGTCACAATTATTTCCAGCTCTATTTTTGTCTCTTTAAGCTTTACTTTCTTTTGATTGGCTGCCCCTCACCTAGCTTCCAAAACTCTTTATTCAAAACGTTAGCTACATTTAATATGAACGTCTAATGAAAAAGCACATTTATAACAAAAAGCACATAAGGAACCTTTTAATCTCTATAATGAATGATTTTACCCAAAACCATTCATTATAGAGATTAATACAGCAAAATACTAAAAGATTATATTTTATTTAAAATGTTCCTTCAGAATAATTTTCATATTAAACCACCCTTTCCTTGGCTTCTATAAATATAAAAAATAATTCCTTTCCATATAGAACATAAATAGATACAGACATATAAACACATCAGATAAAAAAATTACTTAGTAACCTTTAAGTGTTTCCGAAGCATGTCCCATGACTGAGACATGTAGCGGTTCTGCTAAGTCAGAGAAGGCGCCGGCTGAACTGGGCACTGACAAAGCTGAGCTGGCACGAGAATCATCCGAGCTGTTTGTCAAATGCAAAAAGGGACAAGAAGGGAAGACAAAAACACAGAGACAGACAAGCAGTGGAAAGGAAGTTCACATAGTGGCAGGTGTAATGGGGGCAACAACACAAACATATGGTTGTAATGGGTAATAATGGGTAATAAAACAAAAAGTGAAATGACAAATGAAATGGGTAGAAGAGCTTCAAAATGAAAGTCAGGCAGAATGTGATGCAAACCACTGCTGCAGAGACTGACAGTATTCAACAGTAATATCAATAATGCAATAATAAGTACTCGGGTACAGATTTTCCATTTACCTAGAAGCTATACAATGTGTATGTATACAAATGCATACGCAAGACTACACAGTTACTACACAATAACAACATGGGAAATAAGCACACACAGGTAAAGACACATCCCTATTAAGAGCAGTGCCAGCAAGGAGACAGATGTCTGGAATCCTGCATAGAATTACTGAGCGAGTGAGTAATGCCTACTGTACACACTGGAGGCATGTATTACTCACACCGCGATGACAGAACTTGCAGATTTTCAACAAGTTTGATGAAACCTGCCTTCTGAAGACGAGGGCCCGAAGGGAACAAATTAATTTTGACAGCACAGGTTTCTATGCATGTATCTTAAATGACTTTTTTTTTTTTTTTTGGACGAACTAAATTGATGGCTCCCATTTGCGTGCACATCACACATATTATGGGGTACCTGATTAAATACTTATTTGCGCAGTACACAGGTTTATTGAGTGTAAGTGTACACACAGGGGAGTTAAATAGCAGCAGAGGCAATAAAATCTGAATTTATGAGTGGGTGTATTTGTGTGTGTGTGTGTCTATGCGTGTGTGGGATGTGTGTTCAGATTTTTACCAGCATGGCTTAAACCTGTAAACTGAGCTGGATAAAAAAAACAAGTAATGTCGTAAAAACTGGCTTTGGGAGTCAAGAGTACCGCTGCTAAGGCCGTTTCCTGCTCCTTAATCTTTAGCTCACGGTTGTTTTTAATAAAACTGTAAGACTTCCTCTGGCTTCTCTCATGTTAAAATAAATCAATAAGCCATTTTTATGAATTTACCGATCATGCGCCGAGTGAAATCATATCTAACTTTGATCACTGTAATTGTTATTTTCATACAGTAACATCTGGCCTTACCCACTGTCCTCATGAAAAAGATTACCAGAATCATCATTATGCACAGATGACACCACTGGTTGAGCAGAACTGAGGAAAACAAAAAGTAAGTAATGATTCAGTGTTTTTCTTCGCCACCATAAGTTCACACACATTACCTTGCAAAATAGTCTGCATGAATAAAATATGCAGCCAATCATTCATATCTGGCAACAGGTGTACTTTAGGACAAGTGAGTGGAGTGCACCTCTAACAAGAACCCATCACATTAACAAATGGTTAGATTCAAATTATTTGGGCACCTGCCACTTCACCCTCAATGTCAAACAATGACTCAAAACAAACCATCAAAGCACAGTTGGGACAAGTGGTCCAAATTAAACCAATTTGGCCTAGCTCAAAGTGCCCACTTGATATTAAGTAATGGAGTGGAGTGCATGCTGCTTGTTTCTACCTTTTGAAGAGCTGGCTGTAAACCCCTGGACTCTTCCCCACTATAGCCTCCCTCACCAGCTGCTCACGCCTCCTAATGGAAGCTAGCTCCTAGAGAACGGAGATGCAAAGAGGGCACAGAAAAGTTGGTGGGTGGAGCGATTAAAAAGCAGAGCAGGAGGGGAGAAAAAAACATGTAAGAAACAAACATAATATTCACAAATTAGAATAATTTACTTGTAGGCTTCATTATCAATACATTTATCATTAGACATCCTGTAACTCACAGTGGAGCTCTTCTGAGGGTGGAGCTCTTTTTGGATCTTGGTAAAATATGATCTGTAGGAGATATCAGAGGGGTCCAAAGCTCTGGCTGAGTGTGATGTGAGTGTCAATCTTGACATTGACACAGGCGATAGTGGCTTCTCTTCTGGATTATGACCTACAAGAAACAGATACTGTCTATATCTGAAGTTTTAAACAGCATGGAACAGAGCTTCTAGACATTATTTATTTTTGAAATCATCAAATATAATTTATAATACTCTACTTTGTCTTCCTGTTGCTTCGTCTGTCTCCATTTCCTTTTCCCTCTGTAACACTAACCCCCTACATTCACTACATTTATGAATCAACTTGGGATTCTATTCCTCCTGCCTGGCAGGTCCATATTTAACATCCTTTGTCCATCATATCCACTATCCATCCTCTGCACATGTCTATACCATCTCAGCCCTGCCCCTCTAAATTTGTCTCCAAACTACTCAACCTGAGCTGTCTCTCTGATATACTCATTTCCTGTCCGTGTTGTAATTTATAACCCCATTTGTATTTTAGGGGACACTCCATGATTTAGCAATTATACTTTATAAACCTGAGGGAAAGTATGACAATAACAACTGAAATTAATAGCGCTGTGTGAGACCCGTCACATCTTTTAAATTCCTTATTCCTCTGATTTCTAACACAGGTTAATTTCTGGTTAATTGCTTCAGGATTATTATTTTCAGACTTTAAAAAGCTTCTTCTCAACCAATGATATTATCATTTTGCAGTTTTTCAGTAATACTTCCTGTCCAATGAAAATGAACTTAATTAACACATGTCAAATTGGTTGAGTGCTCCTTTAAATAATAAAAAAAACCAAGCAAATAAAACAAAACCAAGACACAAATTAATTAACTGAACTTTACCCGTGTCTTGCTTTACAAAACTGGTGTTGTGACACTTTGGACCTGCTAATGATGATGTTAATAAACAAACACATAGACACCTGTGGAGGTGTTGTCAGGGGATGCTCTGTTGTTGTTCTCTCCCTCCTCCTGCTCCTCTAGCAACAGGTACTCCTTCACTGCCTGCCTCAGTGTCTTGTAGGCATCTTCCCAGTCATCTACTCACACACACACAGGCACACAGATACACACACACAAAGAAATCTGGTGCTCAACAGAGCCAACGTATCTCCCCATCAAACAGTAATAGATCAAAAGATAAGCGGATGACGACCTTAGTGTAATGAGGCGCAGGCTGGCAGTGAATAAAAGTGATGAGTGCCCGCACTCTCTGTATGTTCATCTCATTAAGAACACCCCTAACATGTCTGAATGCTTTCATGAGGGAATGATAAACACAGCTATTCTGCGGCTACGTGCCTTTAATACATGTGGTAATTGGATTGAAAGTGTAGTTTATGGATTTTAGTGGAGTGTGCTAATCCATCTAATGCTATATCAATGATAGCTGGACTGCACTAAGCCAGGGCATTTTCAATCTTTGTGAGACACTATAATGATGAACAGAGCAATCACACCAAAGGCTATTGGTGGTGCATTGTCACAGTGTAAAGTCTTTTGTGGTATCAGAGAAGAATGATTGCTGCTTTGCTGTAACTAATGGGGATCATAACAAACTAAACTCAACTTCAAATTTTCTGTATTGAAACGGGCTAAAAATGTAGAAACATCTAAATATTTCCACTGGGAATCAGTTAACTGGAATCATAGCTTCAAATTGATACCCATTGAAAATTAATTGTGAATATTTGGAACACTTTGTACTGCAACAGCTAATTATTATAATACATCTGATTAACCACTGGATAATATTAAAAAGCAATAAAAGCAACATAGTACCACAGGGAATAACATTATCGAAGAATCCTGGACGTTGCCTGTTGGTGTTGGCGTAGAGCTCTATACGTGACACTGCTGCATCCATTTGTGCCTGGGTGTAGAGTCCACGGGCTTTAAGGTGGCCTATGTACTTTTCAGCCTGGGTGGGGATGAGCAGGATGTATCGAGGCTCAAAGTAGGTCTTTTTTAGACTGAAAACACCCTGAAAGAAGAGACAAAATGCCTGCAGATATCCTACTTTTAACACTCTTATACATGAGCTTTCCTTTCACATACCTCCAGCTCCATATGCACGCAACAGGCCAATCCTTCTCTAGCCACATCCTCTACAGCATCTCTGGTAAGTCCGTAACTATGCCCCCCATACTGGATGGTCTGGATAAACTTACCCTGAAATAACATTTCCCAGTGCAAGAGAAGAGAATGAGAGAACATTTTATTGCCTCGCTATTCATCACGTTATTGCAACAGTTATGAGCTCCTAAAATGGGACATATTTGACATACATGCACAATCCCAGCATGTTCTGTCAGGGTTAACAACCTGTAGCCATTATTCCACCTGTGAACTGAACCTGCCCTGACCTGGCAGGGAAAAATAAATAAATCTTTTTGTTACTTTTCACACATGACCTGACCTTATTGTTACTGTTAAGTGGTTGGAAAAACTGATAAACAAATTGTTCCGGCTCTAATATAAATTATATATGAGGTTACTTATTTCTATGTTTTAACTCATTTTATGATGCTTATGTTGACTAATTAAATGCATGACATTTAAAGTCACATTCACTGACTTTTTAAAATCTGCAATAAAAGCAGCAAACTGTCAAATAAACAACCACATGTGCAGCCATTAGCAGTAAACAGAATGGACTCAAAAGTTAATGTCCTCTTTACCTTTCAGTGCTGCATAGAGTAGGAAATACATATATTATACCTACATTAAGCAACAACACTGAAGAGAAAACTCATTAAGTGTTATTCACTACATTTCAAATGACTTTTACTAAAAACTTATATAAGATGTACAGCACTTCTTCCAAATCAAGTCTCACGTGTCCCCTTTCCTAAATAAAGCATCTCAATGCAGTAATTAAAAATATGATTACTGGAGTCAGTTTTGTAAGAAGGTATGACAGTAAAACTGCAAGAAAGCACATTTGAGGACTGAAGAGAGAACTAACACAAGAGAAGTAAGAGTAAAAGAAGTAAAAGAAGACAAAAACAAGCAAGAAAAGGAGGGCCAGACTTCAATAAACCACATAGCTGGCAAAAGAAGACTGGTGGGAGGAGAAGAATGGACAAATCAAATAGAGGGAGGAACAGACTGAAAAGTTAACCTCTGTTCAAGAAGACAAAAGGCATCAATATCAGCATCAAAGCGTTTCCTGTGTAAATCACTACATGACCCAGACCTCTATAAATAATCCCCCACCTCTCTTGCATAACAGGCAGCTTGACAAGAGAGACAGATGGAAAAGAAATGTGCCCCAAAACCCAAAGGACTCCACTTTTCTCTGGCTAAGAGAACTATAACTTGTGTATTTAATGAGAGCCATTTGTGGATCCCTCCTGAGGGTGTTTTAAAGTTTTGACCAGTGTCTACTCATTGATGGCTTTCCTTTGATTAGCTTTCACATTTTTTGTGAGCCTAAATTGAGTTATAGGAGATGCTGTAATAGCACATTCTGAAATAAAATTTAATTAACATGTCTATTATACGTTTTCAAAAATGGTCCATTCAACCAACATTTCCACTAAATTATTTTACACAAAAATGTCAGCCAGTTAAACTAAAATCATTCAGCCAAATCAAACTAATTAACACAACTTACTCAACTCATTAAAGCCAATGAAAGAAGTCAATTTGAATGTGACTTCAGCACTAAAGTAAGTCCAAGAAGATTTAATTATGCTGTGGGTATGATTTAAAACACTAACCACATAAAACTATTCCTAGTACACTCGAAATAGCTCAAAATAACTTCAAGCTAACTCACGGTGTGAATCATACTCTGAAACGCCTCCTCACTGACAAAATGGTAATCAAGTCCATTCTCTTCTCCGAAGTACGGCCCCCTTGTGGTGTGAGAGATTCTGCAGTGACAGATACAATTAGAGAAACAGTTGCATAGTTAAGTCAGCTAGTAAGAGGAAAATGAGCTGCGACAAAACCTCTGGCTTTTCAGTCTGTCTCAGACTGTCAAAGTGACTAAAAGTGAGAGCCAGAAATATGTCTTCTGCATGTGTGTTGTATGTGGAAACTTCAGTCACTTCAATATATCAGTGTAAAAAGTGTTCTGAAGTTCAGCCAAAGCTACCAATAGCAGTCTGTATTTGACAGTTGACTCTCAATAATACAAGAATAAAATATTTTGGTAGATCATATAAAGTTAAAGGACCCACTGTGTCGTCAGATGTTTAATTCATAGTATTTTTGCAATTTCAAATGTATTACAAAACAAGCGCTACTAATGGGCACTAGCTCTGAGAGCTCAGCATATGAATTATTACTATGTGTGCAGAAGTTTTAAGACTGACCCATAAGCAAAGTATTCGTTGAACTCTTGACACAGTCTGTGAGTCAGCTCTCTCTTCCCACAGCCTCGAGGACCTGTGAGCACCAGCATGGGGTAGGGAGAGTCTGCACTGGGAAGTGTACTGCTTGGAGGCAGACATACACACACGAAGCATTCAGAAGTTTTACTTTAATTTTACACGCCCGCTCTTAGCTTCAAAACCAGTTATCTTCCCCTTCCAAAAATGAGCACTGCTTAAGTATAAAAAGCCACAAAGCAAGAGTCACTCCTACAGTCAATATAAACGCGAGCCTCGTGGACAGTATGGATGTGCTCCTTCTGGTAAGCACAGAGGAGAATGGCAAATTTACTGTAGCTGCAGCTTTTATTTGCTGATGATCGATTTTTTTAAAAAGTGCTGATACTTGAATTTTTTTTTTCTTTTAGAGTGTAGATAAACAGGATAAATTGCTGCTCAAGCAAACAACTTTCTTGATATTTTATTTTACAAGATATGTATTGATTGTGGTTAATCATAATCTCTGGATTGTTCTGAAACCTTTGCTTGTAGTGCACTTCCTAAATGCTACAGGCTCTTCCTTGTATGCCAGTAATAATTGTTAATTAATAAACTTATTAATGTTACACGAACTGGTGGCCATGTAGTGCTGAGGATATTAAATAAATGTCAATGTGAACCTTTCATAAAGGACCTGGGGCTGCATCAGCTGATACACTAGGTGGGTTATGTGATCCCTGGCTGCCACCACATCCATAGGAGGGTCATACATGTTTACTGACGACACCTGGGAATTAGAATTAACAATCACAGAAGCAGTTCACAGACTTTAAAACATTAGGTGAATACATTAGGTTTGTATTATTCATTGCGACAAAAAAAAGCTTCTGATAGATTAAACATGTATTTACAGTTTAGTGAACCAAACAGTATTATCTGTTTTGTCTGTTCACACCTTTTCTTCAACAGTGACTGCCTCTTGGTCCAGAACAGTCAGATGCTGAAGGAGGAAGATGACTGCCAGCTTGTAATCAGGTTGCTCCTACCAATTACATTCACACAAGCACATACAGTCAGCAAAGTTGCCTGGCAAAACAGCTTTAGAAAAACAGGAAAGAAGACCTCTGTCATTGACAGCACATTTAAACACATTTAATAGATTATCTCATAGTCAAAATCCTGTTGTAAGTAAAGGGCATGGTTACCTGCACAGGGTTTTCCACCAAACTGAGGTCCCTCAACAGTAAAAGGTCGTGAATATGCTTGCACTCCTGAATTTCACTGACCTGTGAAAAGTTTACTCAGACAGTTCATACAGTGTATTAGTTTCCTTTTGAAATGCCATGAAGTTAAATTATTGACCTTATCTATGATTAAGGTATTTTCCAATTTTGTTGTATCTTATTAAAATCTGTAATGATGGCTTAAAGTACTGAAATGTATTCTGGAAACAGCATTAAACAGCCTACCAATCACACATCTTATCAGACAATGAGTCTGTGATACTTCATCTTAGAATTTAATCTAAAAAGTCTATTTGATTTTCAATATGAAGCTCAAGAATTAGTAACTGCCTATGACCATGTGGTACTAATGCTGATATATGCACATCACACGTTTAATTCTGAAGACTCTCTCAGATCAATACCAGGTTTTTCTCCAGGTTGAGGGAGCCTAGCAGATGGAGGTTCTCGAGGCCTGAAAGACTGGTGATACGATTCTGAGATAAATCGAGAACCTGCAGGCTCTTCAGGTGCTCTAACCCTTCAATTTTCTCCAGATGGTTCCCCCTCTGCTCATAGAAAGGAAAAGAAAAAAAAACATGATAGCATGAAGTTCATTCATATGCCTCTGTCCAAGTGTTAAGATAAACTCAGTGACTGTCTCCAATAAATATTAAGGACAGGTCATGGTTGTTCTGAAGGGTGCCTGAACTTTCTTTCCCATCAGTGCAGAGTTGAGTGGCAGGCCTGCCTCTTCTGACAGGTGAGGACTGACAGCCAAACAGCTGGCCTGGCGATAGCCCAGCACACCAGCTAACTGAAGAACAAGACCTGGGCACACCTCCCTTGTCTGGGTCCCCAGTCTGATTCTCACTCCATTCCACTGACAAAAGTTGTTATCTAGCCGTCTGGCCACACCTCTGCCTACTCTTGCCAAGCATGTTGCCTGGCAGAGGGCTGCTGTCAGCAGGGGTGGGTGACTGTGCTGCTCCCTTGAAGCTCTGGGTCACTGCTGTGATGGGCTGCGTAACAGGCTGGCTGACAATGCCATGCTGTTTTGGGAGGCAGCATGTGAGGAAGAGGGGTCAGTAAAGGGATGAGATGGATGCTGGATGGGCAGGGTCTGCTTGAGTGTGTGAGTGTGTGTGTCTGCTGAAACTGGTCCAGCCTCACTCTAAACACCAGCAGCTGGTCCCAAAGCAAATCTACAGAGAGGGGCAGGCACAGCCAGGCCGATGGGCTGCTGACAATGAGGAAACACTGATAAAGGACACGTGTGCACACATGCAAGCAGAAAAAGAGGCAGAGAGTGAGAGAGAGCGAAAGGGCCTGCTGTTGGACCATATGGTGATTCTCGAACAAGAGGCCAAGGTTTTACTGAATATAAAAGCGAGGCCAAAAACTGAGACATAAAGAGAACACATAGGGAGGGAGAAAAAAGGAAAAAAGAAACAGGTGAAACGGAGCATACATGTGTAAAATATACACAAGGAGCAACAATGTATGCACGACAGCAGGTAATCTCATACATGTAAACAGAAGTACTGCCAAAAGAGCAAAGGAAAACACAAGAGTTCAGTTTAAAATGCATATTTATAAAATATCTACATTTAAAGTTCCACCTTTTATATATAGAGAAGAACCTACAAGACAGATGTGTGTGAGAGGCAAACCACCCAGGCCACTGATCCTCGAGATCTTGTTATGTGCAAGGCTGAGATGGGTGAGCCTGCAACATTGCTCAAGACCACTGATCTCACTAAAGCTGTTGTCTGAGTAGAGGCATGTTAAGAATAATACACAACAGGAAAAATATGCAGTTCACAAATCTTTTTTTTTTAATACATCACAGAGCATGTGTCTGAGAGAGAATGTTTTGCAGTGAGGATACAGTCTAGAACCAGTTTAGTTAGCGATGCATAGGCTGATAAATCCCTCATTTTAGTCATACGGTTGTGGGCGAAGTTCACCTCCTGAAAATAGCAGCACACTGTTAATAAAAGTCAAAAAAGTTTCAGGACATCTTAGTGAAGAAATCCTTCCACTAAATTCACAGAGTATGGAAAATAATTTACTAAAGTTCACTGTCATTCAAGGGCAGTAAATGCCTTGTAAGCATATTCTAACCGACTACAGATGGGCTATGGAAATCCAGCCCTATCTTGAGGGAATAGTGCTTGAGAGTGAAGCCCAAGCCACCACTCAAATGTTGTCTTATCCTGTCAGCTCAAGGACCACCCGTGTTACCTTTAGGTTCTTGGGTGGCTGGAATTCAAAGAAGTTTGAGATTTCATTATAGGAAGCGTCCAGCACAACAAGGTAGGGCATGTGGCTCACGCAGGATAAATCTAGGAGTTGGGGAAAGTTATGAAAATTGATTAAAAAAAAACAACAACAAAGACAGCAAATATTTACATGCAAATAAATGTGCTTTAATCACATCATGGTATGGCATTTTATGAATGATGTCACTGTATAACAGGAAGATAATATTGGCATAAGAAAAAAAGTCACCTTGAATTTTGTTGTGTGGCAGTTCCAGCTTTTGAAGATGGACATAACTGCACAGCACAGATATGTCACTCAGACTGTGACTCTAGAGCAAAGAATACAAAATTAATTTAACCTAATTTTGGCTTGAAATTAAACTATGCTGCTTAATTTAAGGGAAAATTAAGGGGATGCTTGATCATTAAAGTATGCAAAGTATCACAAAGTCAGTTAAAGTTCAGTATTTACAGTTAGGAAACACAGACCATTGTAAAACTATTTCAGCTGCTTTGGTGCAAATGAAATTGACCACAGGTGCACTGGAGAGGCAACAACAAGGCAATCCCCAAAAAGGGAATGATTTTGCAGATGGTGGCCACAGACCATTGCTCCATCTTTATTCTTCCTGAATGATTTGTCTCTAGTTTTGCTATTTGCCAGTGTCCTTGTCATGAGTGTTAGGATAAGACATCTGCAGTGCATTCATATTTCAAAGCTCCTCCAGGATGGAGGAAAAGATTTGCTGTGTCTCCCAGCACTTAAAAGTGTAGAAGAGAAACCCGGAGACTGGGCACTACCCAAGGAGAGCTGGACAGGGCAAAAGGAGGGCATAAACACAGAGAGAGCACCAGTTTTTGCTTCTTTGTGCAAGAAAGAAAAGAAGGTGCACTGCCAGATCCCTACAAAATGACTCCCAGCGGGCTACTCATGTGCATGTTTCTGACCAAACTGTCAGAAACAGACTCAATGAGCATCACATGAGGTTCCAGCATCCTTTAGTGGGACCCATGCTTTCAGTACACCGCCATGCAGCTTAACTGGACTTCGCCAGACAACACTGGCAGGTCCACCACTGGCGCCTTGTTCTCCTCACAGATGAGAGCAGGTTCACACTGGGCATGTAACAGTCTAGTTGTGGCCTCTCCAGTGCACTTGTTGTCCCATTCATTTGCACCAACAGAGATGAAACTGATTCACAATGGTTTATAATTCTTAGCTGGACAGATTCATATCCCTTAAGTTTAACTATCTTGTGCTATATTGTCATGATCAAGTGTGCTCTTATTTATTAACTGTCAGCAAAAGATCATGACTCAATGTCAAATCATTACTAAAGTCTCGGTCTTCATTATACAGCCAGTAACATGGATGAATGAATTAATATGTGTATCTCACAGGCAGAGAAAGGATGTAGAATGAGTGCTGGAGCCCAGTGCCAAAGCGTCCGAGTTGAAATATACTATTTGAAATCATCTCAGCTGTTAAAACACCATCCTTCTGTAAATAAGATAAATAAGTAAAATATATCAAAAAAAATAGTGAACCCAGCAGGTACAGAATTACAAAGTGCCATAAAAGTAAAGATAACATCATGCATTTGACAAGAGGCCACTGAAAACAGGACCAAGTCCTGAGAGCCTAAAAGCAAAAGCGCACATATTCATGCAGCACACACACAGACACACACACACACACACAAATAGACTCTGATTAGCTCCGTTGTTGATGCAGCTACCACAAATTCCAAGCATTCAACTATTTGACCTTGCTGTGCTGTTTTATTTTCCCAGACCTCTTGTACAAGGACATCTGCTTTACCTGTTGCACAGTGACAGAAACACGAGGATTTATTCAACCTGCGAAATGAACTCACCGTTTCTGCTTCGGCGCAATGACACACGCTGAGCCACATTTTTGTTATGAAAACCATAAAATTGCAATAATTGAATATAACAAGTTTCACACTATATGTTGCTTTTTTAAAAAGAAAAAAGTTTTTACTAGTTGACATAGCCTCCTAGCCTTACCTCCATCCCTCCGTTTTCCTCGAGCTCAGTGCAGGTGGGGGTCTCTGCTGAAGCAGCGTCAGTGAGGGACCCTGGGGGGGCAGGAGCTTAGCGACGCGGAAGGAAACTGTTCGCCGGTTTTTCCATTCATTTTTTCATTAAAAGAAAAAACTCGACGACAGAATAACTTGTTAGCAGTCAAAGGGAAGACGTTTACAGTTTAAAAAAACTCTAGTTAGCTAGCTTTTCACATGAAAGGTCCACTAGCGTTGCTAGGCAACGCTGACAAGTTTGAAGTGAATGGCATTATGGGTCCTGTAGTTTCAACCGAGCGTTAACGTCTGCTCGTTGATACTAACCCTAACCCATTTTCATAAGTTTTACAGCTTTTTCTACCGATAAACCCCTCCTCCAGGGTAATTCTTGCTGCACTAAAGTAACTATGTAGTAGATTAACTCTGAATTCAGAGAAAATGGCCTGTTTTTTGTTCCAATGGCTTTTTATTTGTAAAGTTAGTCTTTTTTTTACTCTTTAAACCCAAAGAGTCATGCTGATAGATTTCTGTCATCTGCTACTACTTATCACAAATAAGACAAATAAAGAATCTTGAATCATATAGAAAAACTCAAGACACGCTGTTGAAATGTTACTGTTTTTTCTTCTTTTTTTTCTTTTCTTAAACAGAAAGCTAAGTTTCGGTCATTTTCGGCCCACTTACGGATGTAAAATTCATTTGAAATCCTTGGTTTAACAGGTTTTTATAAATAATAGCAGGTAACATTTTGGTCTGTGCAATCAGTGAACACCTTCTTAAATTTAATATAGGTTACAGGAGCAGAGTTTTTGATTTTAATTTCCGTGGCACTTAGACTTCAGAATAGGCATAACAAAATAAATACAAGTTTTTCTATGAGAGCCTCCTCATGCTCGTTTTGTGGACAAATTTGATCAAATTTACCCAAAAAAGTGCTGAATTTTATTAGTTTACATTATCATTTCATCTGTTTGCACCTTTAATTACTTACATATATGCAACCTTTAAATGTAGACTTGTATCGTCCACCCTTTCCCTTGCATTTGGATTTTGCATCAGGCTCATTCAGAGCTATGCTAATAACACAGTTAGCCTTGTCAAATATCATCCTGTGCCAACAAGATGCCCACAAGATGCCCACAACAACAAAGCCTTCAGATGATGTTGTTTGTACTTATTTTTCTGATTCCAATATAATACACTTTAGCATTCTGTGCTTAAAGCCATGTCACACAACACATCACACCTGTCAGCTTAAGGAAATCCTCGTGTGTGTGTTGGATCCGTCTCACTTGTGTGAAACATGGCAGAAACATCCTCACTGCTTCAAAACAGTGACAGGCTGTCACGTGCAGAAGGTCAATGTGTGTATGAACTCCTAGCAGCTGAACATCTAAGAGTGGAAAATGCGACCTTTACAACCATGTAAGGAAAGAAACGTACACAGACAAAGACTGGAATTTGAAGAATTTATTTTTTAGTGTATGCACTGTCAAATTGTGAGTGCTTCATTTAGAATAGATACATTTCAGAGCATTTATGACACTTCAGAACCAGATCAAGAAATAGGCCTGGTAACCACTATAGCCAGAATTCAATGCATTTCTATGCCAAACATAAAATCAGTTCTTTAAACAGATGTGCAAAATTTAGATCAATTGCAAAGAAAAGCAGGTGAGATACGGGTAACAGTAAAAGAACCTTTTTGCAAGTGTAATTCAGGAATAAAAAGAATGGACAGGAGTGGTTTTCAAATACATATAAGAGCATTATTCCAGAATTTTATGGGCTATATTTATGCAGCATAATAGTAGTCTAACAGCATCTGTGAATGGCACGGCCCTGACAGAGTCATTTAGCATTGAAATAAAGTTTTCCATGTATAACATTATAAAAGTAACTCTGAAGTGAACAGATGAATGAGCAGATTTTAGATTTTACACCAAGTGTACGTTTCAGAGTGGTAGGCGAACCACTCAGCAGCTCCGCAGTTGTTTTCCCATCGATCCCAGCCTATGTGTCATTATGATGGATTGCTCTGTGGGCTTCAGGGAGACCAGCGCTGGGCCCAGTGTATTGACAAGGCTCCCATTTCCCTCTCCCCCTCTTGTTAAGTACTTCTCCCCCAAGTTAATGAACTAAAAACAAGGAGGATTGTGGGGAAGGGAATGATTTGTGATCGTCTCTTGAGTTTATATGTTTAGCTCACTTTATAGGATTGAGCACATGCAGTTTGAATGGCAAAATAAAGATTCAGCATTGCATAGTTTTGGTTTGTACAGCCACATATGTGCCTTAGCACAAAAAAGCAGAGTCGTTCCACTGTGGTCTCTTTGTCCAATTTGCAAAATAATATGTTAATTGATTCACAACTTTCCACAACAGTCGCACAACTTTACTGCACGAACTATGAGGAAAAAAAAGATAACAGATTTTTAACAACCATAGCTATGATACAATCGTCAGCTAGGGAAATCATAGGGGACCAACCCAAATTGGCAGCAGGCGGAAGATGTGGCCTCATTCAGACAGTCTAATCTGGCATCTGTTATTGCAGACAGAATCAGTGGGCCCATGGGGCTGCCAGGAGAGGAGAGAAAGAGGTGTAATTGAGAGCAGCAGTTTAGATCTAATAGGAAAATGAGATGAGATGGGGACTAAGTTCGGGTGAGTGTCCAAGACAATCGCCCTTTATCTGGAGATGTAGTCATGGTGAGCAAAGCACTGTTAAGAGTCCGGGCGTGTGCGCTGCATTTATTATGTGATTTAAATAGCGGAAATTGACAATATAGGCTGCTTTGTGACATAGATACATGGACCAATGGACCTGCAAGGCTTGCAGTCATGTAAGTTGTCACCTCCCTTCCCATGTAGAGTCAGTCAATTCACATAAGCTCATATAAGTAAAAAAAAATCCATATCTATTTGTCAAAACTTGACTAGAGTGTGTTTCATCATCATTAGGAAGTATGAAATGTAGATGACACACTTTCCATCAACAGATTTCCAGATCTTGTGTCTAAAGCAAACATCTTTTTGCGTTTTCTAACCAAAATCTCAAATCTAAAACACATCACGTATTTGTGCAACAAAAATTTGAAAGAAACAAAAACATGCCAGAGTTCATCGCACTGAAAAATGCATTGCTGTTCCCTTTCAATGGTCATCTCCCTCTGAATGCCACGTCCTTGCTTTATCATTACACTGTGGTGATCTTCTTATCCTTGGTGGCCTGTTTAATGGCGGCCTGCTCACAGATGATTTCCTTCAGCCTCTGTAGCCGGGTGTTTTGAGTGCTCAAATCACCTACACCTGTCTGACTGCGATGGAGTAAGGAAAGGGCATTGATGTACTCCAGCTCTGTGTAGCGGACACCCTGGTCCACCACCAGGTTCAGCAGCTCATCCGCAGTGTTGTACAGCATCTCATAGTACTGCCTGAAAGAAGAAGGGAAGGTTGTAAATCTTCAAATTAACTGGAAAGACAAAATGAGCAAAGAAAAGGATGCAAGAGAGGAAATCAGAGTGTGCAGATGTCTTCTAAGGTAACTGTTCACTCTTCTATCAGAGGTCAGTTTGCATATAAAATGTCAATGTATTTCCAGATCTATTTTAAATGCTAAACAGTTTGGGAACTTTAACACTGAATTTGAATCCATTGTGGAAAAAAAATTCTGGGGTTGGTGTGGAGATAATCTGTGCCAACTTTGGTGAAGATTATAAAAATGTGTCAGTCCAAAAGCATCCAGTTAGTAAAAATTGGAAAAAGGTTTAAACATTAAATTGATAAACACACACAGACACCCAGTAATGGTACAGCTGCTCTGTCTGAACTGTAGACACCTAAATTTAATGGGTATTTTCTTTACCCACGCTCCGCTTCACCACCAACTTTCATAAATATCAACCTTGCAGTTTTTTCTAATCCTGCTAGCAGACAAACAAACGCTATTGAATACATAACGTCCTTGAGGACGTAATCAAGGGAAAGCAGGGGGGAGAGGGAAAAAGAAAACGCTACATGCAACAGTAACACTTTATAATCCTCTGTTATTCATTTTTCCAGGGCTGAATCAAAAAGAACAACAAGAACAAAGGGAAAACACAGAAGCCACACGTACTGCTGTTGCTGTCAGCAGCAATTTTCTGAAAAAGGGCTTCAAGGACCTCAACCTCCTGCCACTGGGAGTTGAAGGTAGAGGGAAACCATTCAACAGCTACAAACTACTGAGACTATTCTAATGAAATGCTGTTGACAGAGCCAAAAGCGGAAAGAGGCGTGCACAGAATTAATAGCTCTTTAACCAGAACTGAATACCTCAATGGGCCATTTGAAAAGGACCATGAAGTACACAATGATAATGCAGGAGCACAAAAGGAGAGCAAGTATTGTTGAATAAAACACACATTCACCTGCTGACAAGAACAATACACATACAGATCAAAAAATACCAAACACAAGTGAAGAGAGACTGCACGAACGTTTTGAGCACAGCATTTTTAAGATTTGTTTTAGGCGTTGACCTCTTGTGGGCGTGTGACCATAGACTGTATAACTCATTAGCATCAACTTACAGTACTTGGCCATTAATATGGATTTCAGTAGGAGTCTAGCTTGTCATGAACACAAAATACAGATAACTGTACAAAGAGGGCCTGGAGGTAAGCAAATGCACAGGAATCTGTGGAAGCAGGACACACAATTTTTCTTTGGTCAGGGGTAAAATGAGTCTAAGACCAAGATGCAGGAATCCTAAAGAGACAACAAATGTTACACTTTCATACGATGGTGGTAGACGCAACCAGAGCAAGAGGGCATAGGTGAGCTACAGTCCTACTATTGCATGTTTATAGTAACTATAGTTACTGTAGTCTTTAGTAATGGCCAATAGTGTGCACATGGACAACTAAGATCAGGTTAGCAACTTTTATGGAGCTCTGTATGGACTGCAGAAAAAAGCACAGGGATTTTAGTAGCAGAACATTTAGCCATGATTTAATACAGAAATAAATGAGATCAAACAAGTGAAAAATATGCTTTGTCTCTCTTTCAATTATATTAGTTTAACACCAAGTTTTTCTTGGAGCTCCCAGTGTCACAACACAAGCAGCAACATCCTGGGTTTGTGTTGTACATTAATACACTGAATAAAAACTGACTGTTTACTACACAACATATCTCGGTCAAGGACAGGTGATGGTCAGTCAACAGCAGTGGCTTCTGCTGCTCTAAGTAAAGAGAGATAATTACAAGGCTGACATTGTAATGTCTTGCAGAAGAAAAGCATGTGAAAGGTATTGGGGGTGTTGCGACTAGGCAAACACCGATGTTTGAACGTTCTTTGTGTGGCCTTGATGAAAATTAAATTAAATGTGGTTAAAAAGGGTTAAGCTCTGTTGTGCCAGAAGAAGTTGGAAGTAAATGGATTCAGATATTTCTGATATGGCTCAGTAGAAAGACAAAAAAGATCCTTTGACTCAT